GGCCCCCCAGTCGTCAAGCTAAGGTGCACTCTTTATTGTTTATGTTTGGCTTTAGAGCTGCATTGTTGTGTGTGCGTGTATGTGTGTGTGTGTATGAGTGTGTGTCTGTGTTTGTACTGTTAATGCATTGCCTTGGCCAGGACATGCAATCTGCATTTGCGACGAGTCAGAGAGTACCACACCCGCCTGCACCTGCACCAGCTCCTGCTGCTGCTCCTGCTCTTGCTCCAGCAGCTGCTGCTGCTCCTGCTTGAGCCTTGACTTTTGGCAGTCGGCGGATGCGAAATTCATGGAAGCTGCAAATCATGGCAATTGCCGTCGGCCAACAGCGGACAGCGTTTCTTTTATTGTCGGCCCGTGGCACTTGCCTGATATATGAATGCGCGTTATTGAAATTACGAAATTAATATTAATAATGGGGAGCAACCCTACCCTGCCCTGCCCGCCCGTTCCACACGGCGTATGCACAACATTTCCATTAAGTTTGCTGCGTTCGTTTGTCAATTTGCTGTGCAGCAATAAATCACATGACTGCGACGAGGCAGCCGCAATGAGTCGCCTTAAACCCAATTAACCCATTAGGCGAGCGCGTCTTAGCCATTTGATGCGGCTGCCCAGAATGCAATTAAAGGATGCAACCAACTAAGAAGACATCGTCCTCCGCATCGTCTCAGCGTCTTCAGCTTCTTCCGTCGCGCACTCACATTTAATTTTTATGTGGCCAAGGACGAGACGAGACGCTGCACAAGTGGTGCAGGCAGAAAGTAATAACTGCGCATTGCCATTATTTATGTTTATGTCCGCACTACATCATCTTCAAATGTCCAGACCCAGGCGCAGCGTCCGCCCACCCCTGCGCCCCTGCGCCCCTGCGCTCCCTTTGGGCCATAAAAAACAAGTGCCGGCGGACAAGTTGTGTGCAGTTGTACAGCAGCGAGCTAGATGTCTATATCGCTGCTGCTGCTCCCCCCGGATGCTGGGTGGTTCAGCGGGTGGGTGGTTGGGTGGCTGGTTGGCGACGTTTAACTGCCGCAGTTTGAGTGCCGTTGAACTAATTTCCGCCGCCATCCACACACAAACACACACACACACACAAAGAGAGACACACAGACCGAGTGCAATGGATGCCACAGGATGCACAGCCTCCTCCATGGCTTGGGCTTGAGCTTTCGCTTGAGCCTCTGGCCCGCTGCAAATGCGCCATTTCTATGGCACTCGCATTTGTCATTGAAGCGCTCGCTAATTTGACATAAATTTTAAATGCTCCGATGCAGAATAGAGCCTGCGGTTAGCCAAAGGCACTGCCCAGCCATGATGACGGACTCCAGCTCCAAAGAAAATGATTTCTCTGCATGCGATGCGAATTAGTTGCATTGCCTAATGAAATTCCACTTGGAATGATCAAATTGACTGGCTGGCCATAAACTGTGCAAAGTGGACTGTGGATGGCCATAACTGTAAATTGCAAAGAAAAATAAAATGAGGAAACTCAACTCACATGGAAATATTTATTATATCTACAATTGAATATATTCATGCAAAATACCTTTGAGCCGGGGCAATGCAATGCAAAGCAAAGCAATGCCAAAATCAATAAAGTTTCCATAAAGTGTGCCAATAAACCGAACAACTGACAAAACTTTGAATAACTCTGATGAAGTGCAGTGCGCCTCACCTGTCGCACCTGTCGCACCTGCACGTGTATGAAAAGAACAGCGAACGAAAACTTTTGCTAACCCAAAAGAAACACAAAAATCAACTTCAAGAAATGCATAAAACTACATGTTTCCAAATTGAGATAGATATATACACACATACATAAATATGCATATATATATGAATGAAAGAAATCAAAATTGAGAGTTGAGAATACAAAGTGAAACTGGGCAATCGTTAAGGCTTTTGTTGAAGGGGGTCGTTGGCAGGGGGCGGGTGGGGCAGTCATTGAAGTGAATTGAAGTGAGGACGGCGACTCTTGTTAGTCTTTGACTTTGTACGAATTGTTATCGTTACAGTCACTTATAATAGTTTCTGTTGTTGCTGTTGTTGTTGTTGTTGTAACTGTCAAATTGGCAACACGAAATGACGTTGTTTTTGCTGGCTTGTTTTGTAAACGGTGTCGCACACAAGAAATATGCCAGCTGAACTGTGCGGCACATAAAAGCCACGGCTGGGCAGCTCTATCAAATTAGCTCGCTATTAGCCCTTTTTGTAAGGCTGACGATGCGTGATTAGCGACTCTCTGTGTGTTGGCCCATTGTCTGGGGCATTACACGTGCGAAATGGCGGGCATTGAAGGCGATCGGCACACGCCCCGTCCCGCTCCACCCCACCGAGTGAGCGGTGTGGAAAAAGTAGCGTTAACTGAGTGCGTTGCCATAGCTAATGCAGTTTGGACTTTTTGCTGTTTGCATTTTTTTGGTTTCCTTTCGCTTGGCATTAGGGGGAAACAGTTGTAGCATTTTGGCAAAGAAACGCTCTTTAATCTCACAAGTCACGCACTGATTTTGCAATTTGCATGCAGCGACCGCTAGATGGCGCCAACCAGCGGGACGTGTCTATCGCAACGAGTGGCAACAATCAATATCGGAATTTCCATTGCAGCAGCAGCAGCAGCTACTAGAAATTTTATGCAAACACGAAATTTCATAATTTACTTAAGATTTCCATTTGGCAGTTTTTATTCGAATACATTTCTTCAAACGGCATTCTTAATGCCCTACTCAACGCACTCGGAATGGCAGCAGCCCACAGGTCGTATGCATAATATATCTATTATCCATACGCATAGCCGATGGCCAATGTTGTTGATGGTATTGATACACACACACATATATACACAGCTGCTGGCCGAGCAGTTTAGCATTTGAAAATTAAACATTTTAGCTTTCAATTTCAAAATGGACAACTCACAAAATGAATGCACTTTCGCTTTAGCATTCCAATTTGCATAGAATCCGAGATTTCTTGCCGCACGTTGTTAGTGGAGCGGAACAGAAGGAGTCTGAAGTGCAGTGGCTGAGCTGAGAGGGACTTTATATTCATTCACCCATTTCCATTTGCTGCATACAAATATATTTAATATAGTGCTCGATTGCCATGCTATGTGACGCTAAGAAGCAACTCAATTCATAATTATCGCATTAACAAACAGCTCGACCGATAATCGAGTTAAGGAAAGATCATTTCATAATGCGCTTTTGTGCACTTCTTAACAGCTTCATTACGGTATAAGCTGTCCTTATTAATTCCGACAATAAAAACGGGCTTCCCTGCATTGCCTTTTCACCGTTGCTTACCTTTGTCCGGGCCCCTTTTGTTGACTGCCTCTGGCAATGCATTGATATCGATAACATTCACTGGGCCACTGCGCCCCACCTTGGGCGCTTTAAATGCATGCATGCATGCACACACACACACATACACACACATGCACGCACACACACACACTCAAAAGGATACTTGTATGCATACATTCATTGCATAAAGCCCCGAACAACTTTTTCATGCTCCATTGTGTTATAAATATTCATAAAAGCGCGCCATTTTTTGTTGTTTCTGTCTTTGTTGTATTTTTTTGTTGTTGTTCGCCTCTTGTGGGCGCCCGCCCACAACTAAAGCCTTGATTTCTTGCATTTCGCTTTGTTGCTATGCTCCATGCCAAATACCTCACCAATGTGCCACGCCCACAGCTGAACACCTTTCGCTTTGCGGTAACCGCAAACTATGCTTCTAATACCGCGATGGCATAAATTTAAAGCAGCAGCTGCGGTTTTTCCACTGCTTCCACTCGCTCGCTCGCTCGCTGGCTGCCTGACTGGCTCGATATTTGCACGTTGAATGCGTGGCGAAGGAGGAGCGAGGATGTTTACATGCCACACTGATACCAGCAGCAGCAGCATCAGCAGCAGTTACAAACTAACCGGGTCTCGGCTTTAAACCAAAGTATTTTATGCTGCTAATTGATTTTTCAAACCCAACTATGTTTTCGCAGCATTGCTGCCTCGGCGCTTTTGTTTGGCGTTCAATTAACGAGAATTTGCATTTTATCTAAAAACACAGTCCATATCACACACACACACACACACACACACCTACACTCTCGCACGCCAAGAGCTGCTTATGGTAAACCACATTTCGAGCCCGCGTTAGACAAGAGTTCTTTTCTCTTTTTTTCCACCCTCTTTGTCTCTCCCTCTCTTTCTCTCTGGCAACATATTTGCTATTGCTGAGCACTAAGTAAATAAGCAGCTAAAAACATTGTTTATTTGGCATTGTACACACTTTTTATTACAGCTGCAAACTCTGATCTTTGAAATCAATCAACTATACCAATGTTTACTAAATGCCGTCATTGTAAACAATTCGTCAGAGCAAAGCACATGAAAACAATATTCACAAAAATCATGAATAAAATCATAACTAGATAGCTGTGAATTACAAGGTAAAGTCCGAACTTTTCACAGAATTGAACAATTTATTAAACAAAATCTAGATATAAGCTACAGAATAAATAGATAAGTGACTAATATTAGTTTTGTTCTTCCATATTCCACATTCATATATATGTATATACCAATTATTTCTATTTCTGTGAATTATTCTTTGCTCACTACAGAACATGTTTTACCAAATATGTATATAAATTCGTATATTCATTTGCATTTACATATTTTGATTTTATTTTAAGTGCCATATGTGTGTATGTTTATTATAACCTTCTCTATACTTTTTATAGTACATCATATTACCTTGCCATAATTTACTCATTTATTGGCTTAACCATTTCCTGTTTACACACAATAGAATTATTTTCCTAGAGCAGCTTAACATCAAATGTTATTAACATGCTTAAGCTGTTTGCTGTTAATAGTTACAGAATTCTTTTGCGGTTAACAGAGCACGTCAAGGCTGCTGTTAATTAGCAGTGCGCTTTACATCTTTAGCTGTGATCAAGCAGTAAACGAATTGCAATGCCCACATGGCTAAATATGTCTGGCCGAGACTCGTAAACGATCTTTGCGGCTGGCCATCCAACAATGTATATATTTAGCTTTAATAACAATTACTGCAGCGGCTGGTAGGAGGGCTGGCAGCTTCATAAAAGTTGATGAGTCGTGGATACATAATGCATGAGCTTGACCACAAAGATGACCACAGACAAGCCAGGCACATTGCAGTTGCCAACAGGTTTCAAGGTCAAGCGGCCGCAGCCAAATTAACATTGAAACTGCAGTCTGTTACACGGCGCGCAAACCGGTTGTCTTCTTACATTTGGCAATTGCGACACATGCAGCATTAACAGCAACAACCAACAGCCAGCGACATAAAATAAAATGGGAATAAAACAACAATGCTATGACATTGAATTGTAAATGCAGGCGATAAAAAAAGACCAAAAGCAAAAGTGGACAGTAAAAAAAAAGATCAACAAAGAGAAGAAAGAGTCCAGCAAAAGTAAATAAATGTAAGCCGCTGTCGGATGTGCGATGCATGTGCAATTTGTTTGTGCAAAAAGTAACAACAGCAACAACTGGCAGCACACAGATTACGTATACGCAGCGTCTGCCAATGTCCATATCAATGGTCAGGGATTGAAGCTGCTGCTGCTGCTGTGCTGCTGCTGCTGCTGCTTCTTCTTCCGGCGCTGTAAAAGACATTGACATTTTTCGCTCTACTTTGTTGTCGCCCGTTTAATGCCCTTTATTTTCAACTTCTTTTTGTACGGCTCTTCCTCTTTTTATTTGATATTTTGCCATGGCCAACACCGCATTACGTCACTTTCACTGTACTTTGCGGCTTAAGCCCCGCCCAGTCCGCCTTCTGTTTACCATGCTGTCTCCGCTGCTGCCTCCGCTGCTGCTGCTGCCTTTGTTGTCGTTGTTTGTACTAGTTATTTGTTGGTACAAACAAGTGAATTGCAATAAAAATACTCGTGCTTTAATTTATGGCTGCGTGCGTGCGACTCTCTTTGGGCTATGATTTATTTGAGATATTTTCGGGATCGCGTTTGCTTGGCCCGATTTCTGTTTTCGGTTTTTCTGTTTGTCTCGCATAATTCATGCGCGTTTTCGTAGTGTTTTTAGCTCAAGTTCATCAGCGCAGTATCAACATCAACTGAATAATGTTTTCAGCTTCCGACTGCGTCTTAATGCATTTATCATTCCAAGCGAAGACAAATTAGCCAAATGATCGCAAACAAAGGTCTGGAATGTATTTAGCGAGATTTGCAGCCGCTGCGACAGCGTCACATTCTACATGCCCAATCAAGTTAAGTGCTTATCAAAAGTTAAAGTCATTAAAGCCATCCTCATTGCTGGCTTCTTGCTTTTCGCCAGCCAGCTCCGACTCGGGCGTCTTCTTGCTGACCTTTACTCTGAAATTTATTAATCTGGTTACCTCTTCGTACACCTGCACCAGCTCGAGCAGTGCGAAGTATCTGCCATCGTTGATGAGCCACGGCAGCACGCTAACATCCAAGGTGGCGTTCTCCACGTAGTAGAAGCCCGACATCAGTGGGCATGACATCAGGAAGGTGGACGGAATCAGGGGCTCGCCGTGGAATTTCTCATTTGTCATGTTGCGCAGCGACTCGAGCGACTTGCAGAAGTCCACATTTTTTAATTTGAGCATCTCAAACGAGTTCGGCCCGCCCGGCACATCGTCCAGCCGCCGCACAAAGACCTGAATGAGCAATTTGCCAGGAAAGTGCACCAAAACAGTCAAATTGAAGTTGAGAGCGTCAGGTTTGCGCACATCATAGCTGACGAGCATGTCATTGGGCACAAACGACTTGGAGTAGAACTCATCAATTTGCATGTTCAGCTAGAGAGAGAGAAAGAGAGAGAGAGAGAGAGAGAGAGAGAGAGAGAAAGAGATAAAGGTGGCAATGGAGAGAGCTATTACAAGAGTCTAATTGCCGTTATATGATATACTTACACTCAATGCCTGCGCTGCCAGCCAGGTCAGAGCCAGCACTCCGCGATAGGAACTCATAGCGAAATGGCCAGGGTGAGCACTTCATTTTAGAGTCTCCCAGCGCCTCGCTTCGCTTTCAGTTCAGTCACGCCACGTCGCCTGACCTAATGGATTTGTTTGCCAGCCACGTTTGGGCATATTGGATGCCCCGATGCTTATCAACTCATTTGTATATTCGGGCTAAACGAGGCTCTGTCCGGAGGGCGAGGGCGTGTGCGTGATTTGTTTCAGCTTAGCAGCTAAACGGTTAGACACTAATTTGTATGGGCTGAGTCGAGTGTTCTACGATCTAGGCAAAGGTCGCCAGCAGTTCCCATCTGACCTACATATATTGTATATGTATATCTGTATATATTTATATTATATGATATTATATTATATGACCATCATTTGTGCTACATCATTGAGGCGACAAATGTGAAGTGAATGTTACGCACTTTTATAGCTAATTCCAAGACGACTTGCGACAACTTTACAATCTTCATTTGCGAGATGTGCGAATCACATGTCCATAGAGGGGGGCATATAACATAAATAAATTGCCAGCTCGGGCCAGCCACGCCCTTAACTGAAATGCCCATGGGCACAGAAACGGGTTAACAAGAGGCGTTGCGCGCACAGACAACTCGACGACAAGACGTGACAAGACGCTGCTTTGATCACGATGACTTGATCAAAGAGCATTTAAACAATTTTGCTGCCCGACCAAACAAGCTGCAACTATTTACATTAGCTCAGTATCATTTGCATAAATAGATAAAACTAAACAAATTTACATCTTTTTGGGTGTTTTCGTAAGCAAATGCTTTGTCATGCTTGCCGTCGGCTCATTCATTCTGATGGTCTCCATTCGCTTCCGCTGCACTACATTTGATAACAATAAAAAATAAAATAAAATAAAAAAAAGTAAGAAAAGGTAAATATGGCACGACATTGACTTTGACTGATCCCAAATATACAGACATTCATATATGTTTATTCTCTGCTTCGCTTGCCTTTATTCGTCAGCTTTTTCGACAACGCCCAGCGGCCGGCTAGCGTTTATAATATTTCGGTTTTGATTTCAATATTTCGTCTTGGCGCTTCTAAGAGCCGCAAATATTTATGGATCTGTTTTTCTTTTTTTATGTCTTCAAAACTTCCAAACTGATTTTAATTGCCTTGTCCATTGGTGGATTTACTTGAGGTGCGAATTATACTTGATCTAGCTCGAAACGCAGATTACCTGATTTCCTTTAGCTACAACATTTGAGAAACTCGAGCACACACATAAGTGTTAATCAATTAATGTCAATTTTAATGGGCTATGATACGGTATTTTATCGTATGCATAGATACAAATTCTGTTTCCGCATAATGCAATGTTGTTCTTAAATAAATAAAAGACAAAAAATAAAAGTCATGATTGCCGACGTTTTGTTGACTAATTGATAATTAACACTGGAGGAGAACTCGGCTACATCATTCTAGAAGCTCTGTTAAGATGCTCTTCAAGGTGAATTGCAGAGAGCTGTTATAGTAGAGCGGCTTGGTACAGAGCTCTGTTACAGAACCTGTTAAATCCTGTTACAGGGCTCAGTCACTCCTGCTGATGAGTTTCTGTAACAGACCTCTGGTTAACAGGCCTGGAGCGTGTATTAAAAGCTCTCGAATAATCTAGTCCCCTTGATCTGCGACAGAGATCTATTAGAGAGCCCCTGTATTATGATTGACATAACCTTCAGTTCAGCTATGTAAATCTGAAACGCTCAGCTGCACAAAACTGCGTCCGAAGAGCAGATGAGTTTTTGTGAAAAAGTATTTATTTATCCATCAATAATCATGTTGTCGCCTTCAAAGTAATCGTACTTAGTATAGAGTCTATTTGAACAGCGTCTAAAACTTCTTCAGTGGCACACACAGCTCACATGGGCCCGGCTCCGGCTCCGGCTCCGTCTCCGTCTCCGGTTGCGTTTCCGACTTTGCCTCTCACTTAACCAATGCAAACAGAGGCAGGCGTGTCTCTCATCTCTGTTGTTGTTGCACTGCCTTATAAATATATGCTTTATTTGCAAAAAGTGCCACGAGCAGGTGACCAGCAGGGCCCCAAGTCTTGACTGCGCCACGTTCGACCAATTTGCAATTTGCAATTTTGGTCAGTTTTTCTTTATTTTTATTTATTTTCTTGCCGCCTGTTGTTTTTGTTGACCAGACTCGTTTATTTATGCGCTTTTGTTTATGTATCGCCAAACATGTCTGACAATGTAATATGCGTAGTTTACATACTATATTATCATCGAGTGATGGGTTTCTTTTTGTGTTTCATCTTTTTTCGGGCGTCAACTCTTGGGTATAAAAGCCACTGGCACTCTGACCACCAAGTGCAGTTAAATTTTTGGAATAAGCAGCTCTACAGTTAACCACTATGAAGTATATCGCATTGGTAAGTGTTCGATCGACAGCTTCCAAGCGACTCTCTGGCTTCAAGGATAACAAGTACATTCCAACATTTTGCAGGCCCTTTTCATTTGCCTGTTGGCTGTGGCTCTGGTTGCCGCTGTGCCAGTGGATGAGACCTTGCAGGGCGATAACATCTACGGCCAGGCTGATGACGTGCACAATCCCTACGATGCTCAGGCCATATTCAAGCTGAAGAAACTGAAGAAGCTGCTGTTGGGCTAGGTCCAAATGCCTGCCAGCCAACTAAACCTGTTGACTCTAGTCTAAATACCACGTATGAAACTGGGAACCTAAACCTCTCCGCTTGGAATACATTAAACGCTTCGCTTAGAGTCGTAAACGCACAAATCAATTGCATACTCATCCTATCTGTATACGTAACACAATAAATGTAATTCTCATAAAATCCAACAACACAAACGCAATATCTTCTGCTTTAACAATTGGGCTTCAGTTGGAATAGTTTTCACTGGGAACCAAGCGCTGATCAACCATGTTGACTGCCTGATTAACATTATGTGAATTTTGTCTTAAAGGCGGCTTGTTTGCTATTTGTCTTAACGATTTACATGCTATTAACTTGCTCAAATATATATTTGAAATGGGTTTTTTAATTCTTTTGATCATAGCTAAAGTGAATTGCGTTTTGTATATAGCATTATATGTGTCTTATATAAACATATAAACAGTTTACTGACATTGACCTTTATAAATAACTAATTTATAAATGCGAATTGTTGTCATGGCTGTAAATTTTGTTTTTAGCAACTAGCAGCTAATATAAATGCTAATTTTTCAAGACTCAAATTATTTAACGAGCAACCTAAGTTTGCTTTAAGTTTTCTTATAAATGTGACTTTATTTTATATACACACATTTATATTCCTTAACCTTTTTTTATCATCTCTCGTATATATCTGATTTCCGTATTCCTAAATTTTCCTGAACTTTCCATTCGTCTTTTTTACACTTACATTTAGATATTTTTAATAAAAGACTATACATTTATTTTAAATATTTTTCTTTTATTTAAATATCCCTTATTTTATTTTTCATCACTATCTCATTGGCAATTTCTATTCATTTAAAAACGAGTTTTACTTTAAAATTCAGTTTTTAATATCATTCTTAAGAACTAAACACAAAATATGCTAATTAAGTCCATTTGCTGTTGGCATTTAACCCAAGAAGAGGAGCTTCTTCAGCAGCTTGAGCTTCAGCAGGAAGGACTGATCGTCGGTTGGGTTGATGGGCTCATTGCCAGGTCCTTCAATACCCTCGGGAATGGCCTCCTCCAAAGGCTTAGCACTGACGGCCATGAAGCACACAGCCAGGCAAACAAATACGGTCTGTAAATAGGCAAACATAATCCACAATTAGTTGAACGTTATATCCATAGCAGCAAGACGTCTAGTGAGGCACGCACCAAAAGAATGAATTTCATGGTGATTGAGTTTTGATTTTTGACTCCTTGACTGAAAAGTAACTGAGTGTTGATTGATGATCTCGCGGTTCGCGTTGACAGACTTGCACTGATCTTAGAGACCGCTGACCACCTATTTATATGAGAGTTTCGAGCCGGTCTGTGCGATGTGATGCGGTGCGCAAGCGCGATCGTCTTTCATAGATATTAAAACAACACATCGTCACAATGGAAGCTCCAAAATATCTTTGTCGTATCTACGAGCTGCGTAGCCCAACAATAAATTTTGTTTGGACTATTAAATGTGATTTTAGTGTACCACGCAAGGCGGTCGGACGTGTCGGCTGGCAAATTGCTTTATTGACTAACATCTGGATGTGGGTTTTCGCTAATATGTGTTTCCTTGGTTCTGAGCTCTATTTGATTTGACCATTAGCTAATCGTTAACCCAACTCTCGCTCTCACTGAATAGTTATTAGCGTCTTCATTGTTGGGCTCAGTTTGGTAATACATATGTGTTGCCATTTTCGTTGAATTTTAACATTTCGTCGCCTTAATGATCAAAACTCAATTTGGCATAGAATAATCTTTAAAAATATTTGTCAAGTTCAAACATTCTTTAGTCAAGGTCGTAGCAGCCTATTCATTCGGAAACATTTCTCAACTAGGCGACGATTACTTTGACTCCTATTGTAAATATTATTTACTATTTACTTTTAACAAATATGTAAGTGACAAAATTTAAAATTCAAATATTTACCGCTTTAAAAATGCTGCAAGGGATTTTTTAGTGAATTTTTATGGTTATGCGTATCGGCTGTCCCTCCATCAATATGGCAACAGTGTGGCAGCACTGAGACTCGCGATAACCACATAATATTTTCTGCCCCCATCTCTAGCTCGCATTAAACAATAAGCAAAAGAACGATAAAAATAAAAGTTATTAGACAATAAACACTCTTAACCAAATCAGGGCATAATTCCAAAACCTCAAAATTGAGAATTTATAAAATACCACGCAATCAATTTTCGGCAAAAAACAAACCTCGAATCATAATAATGACTGGATCATTTAGTGTAAAGCTAAAAACGAAGAAAGGTCAATTCATTGTTAATGACCTAAACGAAAATATAACAATAGCTGAACTTAAAAAACGGATATGTCAAGCTACGGAAATTAAGCAACCACAATTGCACGTTCTGGTGGGTTTTCCGCCGCGACCGCTGGACCTCAATGATGAGCAACGTAATCTGCGCTCCATTGGTATCCAAAGTGGCGAGACGTTGATTGTGGAAGAAAAGGTGGCGCCTGTAGTCGACCATTCTGCAATCATGGAGGATGACGAAGCGCTGGCGCGTCGTCTTCAAGCTGAGGAAGATGCAGAGCATTTGCGTCAGGTAACAACAAGCAATACTGAACTGAACGCCCTTAGCACTGGCGCTCAGTCCAGCAACAGTAGGAGTGAGAACGCAACTGTGTCCGCGCCCACGGAAGCTGGGCCCAATGGCGACTTCAATGGGATTCTGTTGAAGAAGGTTGTGCCAGCGGATAACTCATGAGACCTTGCAGGGCGATAACATCTACGGCCAGGCTGATGACGTGCACAATCCCTACGATGCTCAGGCCATATTCAAGCTGAAGAAACTGAAGAAGCTGCTGTTGGGCTAGGTCCAAATGCCTGCCAGCCAACTAAACCTGTTGACTCTAGTCTAAATACCACGTATGAAACTGGGAACCTAAACCTCTCCGCTTGGAATACATTAAACGCTTCGCTTAGAGTCGTAAACGCACAAATCAATTGCATACTCATCCTATCTGTATACGTAACACAATAAATGTAATTCTCATAAAATCCAACAACACAAACGCAATATCTTCTGCTTTAACAATTGGGCTTCAGTTGGAATAGTTTTCACTGGGAACCAAGCGCTGATCAACCATGTTGACTGCCTGATTAACATTATGTGAATTTTGTCTTAAAGGCGGCTTGTTTGCTATTTGTCTTAACGATTTACATGCTATTAACTTGCTCAAATATATATTTGAAATGGGTTTTTTAATTCTTTTGATCATAGCTAAAGTGAATTGCGTTTTGTATATAGCATTATATGTGTCTTATATAAACATATAAACAGTTTACTGACATTGACCTTTATAAATAACTAATTTATAAATGCGAATTGTTGTCATGGCTGTAAATTTTGTTTTTAGCAACTAGCAGCTAATATAAATGCTAATTTTTCAAGACTCAAATTATTTAACGAGCAACCTAAGTTTGCTTTAAGTTTTCTTATAAATGTGACTTTATTTTATATACACACATTTATATTCCTTAACCTTTTTTTATCATCTCTCGTATATATCTGATTTCCGTATTCCTAAATTTTCCTGAACTTTCCATTCGTCTTTTTTACACTTACATTTAGATATTTTTAATAAAAGACTATACATTTATTTTAAATATTTTTCTTTTATTTAAATATCCCTTATTTTATTTTTCATCACTATCTCATTGGCAATTTCTATTCATTTAAAAACGAGTTTTACTTTAAAATTCAGTTTTTAATATCATTCTTAAGAACTAAACACAAAATATGCTAATTAAGTCCATTTGCTGTTGGCATTTAACCCAAGAAGAGGAGCTTCTTCAGCAGCTTGAGCTTCAGCAGGAAGGACTGATCGTCGGTTGGGTTGATGGGCTCATTGCCAGGTCCTTCAATACCCTCGGGAATGGCCTCCTCCAAAGGCTTAGCACTGACGGCCATGAAGCACACAGCCAGGCAAACAAATACGGTCTGTAAATAGGCAAACATAATCCACAATTAGTTGAACGTTATATCCATAGCAGCAAGACGTCTAGTGAGGCACGCACCAAAAGAATGAATTTCATGGTGATTGAGTTTTGATTTTTGACTCCTTGACTGAAAAGTAACTGAGTGTTGATTGATGATCTCGCGGTTCGCGTTGACAGACTTGCACTGATCTTAGAGACCGCTGACCACCTATTTATATGAGAGTTTCGAGCCGGTCTGTGCGATGTGATGCGGTGCGCAAGCGCGATCGTCTTTCATAGATATTAAAACAACACATCGTCACAATGGAAGCTCCAAAATATCTTTGTCGTATCTACGAGCTGCGTAGCCCAACAATAAATTTTGTTTGGACTATTAAATGTGATTTTTAGTGTACCACGCAAGGCGGTCGGACGTGTCGGCTGGCAAATTGCTTTATTGACTAACATCTGGATGTGGGTTTTCGCTAATATGTGTTTCCTTGGTTCTGAGCTCTATTTGATTTGACCATTAGCTAATCGTTAACCCAACTCTCGCTCTCACTGAATAGTTATTAGCGTCTTCATTGTTGGGCTCAGTTTGGTAATACATATGTGTTGCCATTTTCGTTGAATTTTAACATTTCGTCGCCTTAATGATCAAAACTCAATTTGGCATAGAATAATCTTTAAAAATATTTGTCAAGTTCAAACATTCTTTAGTCAAGGTCGTAGCAGCCTATTCATTCGGAAACATTTCTCAACTAGGCGACGATTACTTTGACTCCTATTGTAAATATTATTTACTATTTACTTTTAACAAATATGTAAGTGACAAAATTTAAAATTCAAATATTTACCGCTTTAAAAAATGCTGCAAGGGATTTTTTAGTGAATTTTTATGGTTATGCGTATCGGCTGTCCCTCCATCAATATGGCAACAGTGTGGCAGCACTGAGACTCGCGATAACCACATAATATTTTCTGCCCCCATCTCTAGCTCGCATTAAACAATAAGCAAAAGAACGATAAAAATAAAAGTTATTAGACAATAAACACTCTTAACCAAATCAGGGCATAATTCCAAAACCTCAAAATTGAGAATTTATAAAATACCACGCAATCAATTTTCGGCAAAAAACAAACCTCGAATCATAATAATGACTGGATCATTTAGTGTAAAAGCTAAAAACGAAGAAAGGTCAATTCATTGTTAATGACCTAAACGAAAATATAACAATAGCTGAACTTAAAAAACGGATATGTCAAGCTACGGAAATTAAGCAACCACAATTGCACGTTCTGGTGGGTTTTCCGCCGCGACCGCTGGACCTCAATGATGAGCAACGTAATCTGCGCTCCATTGGTATCCAAAGTGGCGAGACGTTGATTGTGGAAGAAAAGGTGGCGCCTGTAGTCGACCATTCTGCAATCATGGAGGATGACGAAGCGCTGGCGCGTCGTCTTCAAGCTGAGGAAGATGCAGAGCATTTGCGTCAGGTAACAACAAGCAATACTGAACTGAACGCCCTTAGCACTGGCGCTCAGTCCAGCAACAGTAGGAGTGAGAACGCAACTGTGTCCGCGCCCACGGAAGCTGGGCCCAATGGCGACTTCAATGGGATTCTGTTGAAGAAGGTTGTGCCAGCGGATAACTCATGTCTCTTTACGAGCATACGCTTCGTGCTGAATGGCAAAGTCGATAACGAAGGCAGCGAAATGATGCGGCATATAATCGCCCAGGAGGTAGCTGCCGATCCACAGCAATATAATGATGCCGTCCTTGGTAAATCGAATGCCGAGTATTGCGCCTGGATACAAAAGGCGGACTCATGGGGTGGTGCCATTGAAGTATCGATTCTATCTAATTATTATGGCATAGAAATCGACGTTGTTGATATACAAAATGCCATTATCAATCGATTTGGTGAAGATAAGAACTTCGGGTTGCGAGTGTTCCTACTCTTCGATGGCATACACTATGATCCACTTTACATGGAGACATCACAAAGCGCCTCCCCAGCTACCATCTTCCCTGTAGAGGAGCTGGGCGTTTACCAGCAAGCGGAGCAGCTGGCAAACGAAGCAAAGTCCTCGCGACAATTTACAAATGTCGATAAGTTCAATCTTCGCTGCTTACAGTGTGATCTACTGCTTGTGGGCCAAACACAGGCCCAACAGCACGCCAAAGCTACGGGTCATGCGAACTTTGGAGAAATTTAATACGTACTGATTTTTGGCACCATTTATATTTTGGCTTTTATTCTGTTTGCTTATTACATACTCACCACGTAGAGTTTCGCAGCTAGAGCCAACTATTTATATTTGAAAATTATTTAGCAAAATTTACAATTTACCAACTTTCGCAGATAATTTATTTAAAACTTTACTCTCTACACATCCAAGCCATTGTTTTGAGTTTTTGGATAATAAAGTTTCATTCATTTAACTAGCAGCAACCAAATGGTGATACACATTTTATTACGAGGCCCAAGGCGGCGTCATTGCAGCTGGATTCTGTAGATATGACATGACCACGGCACTTACACTTAACATGAAGGAAGATAACACCTGCAAATTGCTCATTAATACAGCGACCTCAATACTAGTCTTTGTACACACCTGTTTGGCATCGTCGCTGGCGCGTGAGCTGGAGAAACTAATGCAAGAACAGTAGAGTGCAAACCAGGCGCACCATTTAAGCTAGGGGAGAAGCACATCATATAAATTTATATTGATGTCAATTAAGACGTGGAAATTACCTTCATCATCAGACCGCACATCGAGAAAATCATTCCCAAAATATTCATATAGTCCGGCATCATGTCCTCATTGGCACCACCGCCTTGTCCCTGGTTCTTCGGTGCCTTGTAGCGATTGATTTTTTCTTTTCTACGCGGATCAACAGAATAATTCATTTTTTATGCTTTCAGGTCGATCAGATTAGGTGAAAAAACTGAAATTTTATTTAGCAGTGCAAAGGCAATGTTGATGTTGCCACATTGATTAAAAACATCTGTATGCCATTCACATGCAACGTACGCAAACGAATGGCAATGCTTGTTCTTCCACTCAGCAGTAACAGTTCAGCGGCATGCACATTTAAAAAACTTAATAAATTACATAAAATTCAGAGAAAATTACCGCACTTAAAAATGGCATTGCGTTTTTTCAGTTTAACGCTGAGACCGCATATGTGCCGCATACAGCAACGCACACCGAATCATGGCTTACAACTAAAGAACATACTTCAATTGCAATCAAGATTGTCGGTTTTGCAGTGGGAACAAATATCTCTGCTACACGTGCGTATTACGGATCAGGATGCCGGCTTGCAGACGAAAAGGGAGGCAAACAGGCCGACAAATCCATTTCATGATACAATTTTAGATGAGGACCCGAGAAGGCAGTTCCCTGAGCGCGCTCACCGAAATAAATTCAAAAACTCTAATCATTTCGAAAAGGAGACCGAGAAACAAGAAAAAGTGGAGCGAAAGCAACAAAAGGAAACGGTGACCAATTTCGGAGATCCAGATACATTTGGCGACGCCAAGATCAGCAGTACACAACCAGAAGATCCCGGCGACGCGCAGGAAGAAGAGTTTATTAGCAGACCCACGCGACACTCACGAAAACTTCGAACCAAAGAATACGCACGCATGATAAAGGAGCACTTAAATGCGCGCCGTATTAATGATGCCATTGCTGTGCTAGAGGTGCGCATGCTGCGGGAGGATCGTGTGAAGCCAGAGAACTATATTTACAATTTGCTAATCAGCGGGTGCGCCAAGGCGGGGTATACTCGCAAAGCATTCCGTTTGTACACCAAAATGCGTCAACATGGACTGAAAGTCACTGGTGGAACCTACACTTCCCTCTTCAATGCATGTGCCAATGCACCCAGTCAGGTTGATGGCTTGAGCAAGGCGAGGCAGCTGCGCGAGAACATGTTGGAGAAGGGCTACGAACCAAACTTGAAGAACTACCATGCCATGATTAAAGCGTATGGTCGTTGCGGCGACATCGAGACTGCATACATGTTGGCTGATGAGATGCTCGATCGTCAGCTACCGTTGAATGCGGAGAGCTTCAACTTCCTACTACAAGCCTGTGCGAGCGATGAGAAAAATGGTTTTCGACATGCCTTGCTCACCTGGCACAAGATGCTCCAGCGTGGTATAAGTCCAGATTATTACAGCTTCAATAATATGCTGCGCTGCGTCCGGGATTGTGGTTTTGGCGATCTGGAGTCCATGCAACAGGTGCTGGAGCGAATTGCCCCAGGTGTAGCCAGCGGTGAACTGCCAGCGGGAAAAGAAAAGCAGCTGGAGTCGACTCCTGCTGATAGCTTATCCATTGCACCCAGATCCGGAGAAGTCAATCAGCTCGAATTGTCAACTCAACCCACGGAACAACTAGAGCTACCTAATCTGCTGCTGCCACGCCCACAGCTAGGCAGTGTAGTTGCCTTGGCTGAAGTGACACGTCCACATGAACGTTTTCTGCTGTTGGGCGGCATCACTGGCTATTTGGAGCTTATGAAAGTGCACAATGTAACACCAAATATTGAATTCTTTACCACCATGTTGGAGGTTGTTCCACCTACCAATGCTGCGGAGAAGCAAGTGCTAAGCTTCGTGCGTAAGATTGGACTCAAGGCAGACATTGACTTCTTCAATATACTTATCAAGAAGCGTTCGATGCGCTTCGATTACGAGAGCGCCCGCGAGGTCCTGAGTATGATACGTACAGCAGGCTTGAAGCCGGACATTGTGACCTATGGCGTTCTAGCACTTGGTTGTCGCACCCAGGAGCAGGCGCGCGAACTGCTACAGCAAATGAAGGAAGCGGGTATACGTATGAATATGCCCATACTGGGGGCTATGTTGCGACAAGGCTGTGCACAGAAGTCCTTTGCGTACATCAACGAAATCATGCAACTGTGTTTGGAGGAGGGCATAAAACCAAACGAATCATTTTTGCGCCATTTGTACAACTTTCACAGAGGTTGTGCCAGAGCCATAGATGCTAGGGTAATTTTTTGACGGTTATTAAACGAACTACAGTATACGTAATACACATTTTCTATTCGCAGCATCCCTCAACTAAAACTGAAGGCTTCAAGAAGGGGCACTCCAAATTCTGTGATAAATACCGCCTGTTTTACGAGGAGTATGGCCTAACCGGTTTAAAGCTGGAAGACGCTATTGCTAAGCTGAAACCACGTGCCTACGAACAATACACGGAAGATCCCGTCAGTGGGCAAGAGCCAGCGAAGCACGAGCAAGTGAAACGGAAAACCAAGTTACGCAAATATATTAAGAAAATCAAAATTAATGAGCTGCAGGATGGACCACAGCTATCTGATCCAGTAAAAAGAATAGAATAGTCATTAAATGTAAGTTTAACATTTTTAATATTTAAGTATTCGTTGAATATAGATGATGTTAACCAATCATTGTGCGTTTGCGCCCGCGAGCACGCACTTCCTCAAACTTGGCCAACACGGCTTCCTCGTCCTTGCCGCACTCTTTTCGATATGCTGCCAGGATATAGTCGAATAGATAAGGTTGCTCGCTGTGTGTGCTCAAGAGAGCTCGCTCCAGCACATAGAGATCCACGCCCTTATCTTCTGTTGCCTGATTATAATGACTTAATCCAAAATCTATGAAAATGACATCATATCCAGTCGCATTTGGGTTGATTAGAATATTTGATGTGGTCAGGTCGCCATGTATTATATTGTTGGCATGCATTTTGCCAATGATGCCGCCAATCTGCGTGCACAGCTCCTCCAGCAGCGGTTTGGCCTGCTCTTCGGTCGACTCGGCGACTGTTTTCTGTATAAATTGTTTTGCCGTCTGGGCACTGCCAAAGTACTCCATATACAGTTTGTGTGTATTCAAATCGGAATGGAGAATACGCGGCGCAAGAATACCAGCAGCCAGGCAACGGCCAGCTGCCTTCACCTCGGCCTTCATTCGTTGCCGCGTAATTTGTGTATCTAAATCTGGATGACGATATTTTTTGACAAAGCGTTCTTTTATCAGACACGATTCACCTTTGAATTCGCCGAGGTATAGACGACCCTCAGCGCCTTGTTTCAGTATTTCTAATGCCATGGTTAATGCAAAAAAATAAATAAAATAACACCGGTTAACACAATTGCAATTAGCAGCAGCCGAAATTGATTGCCATTCGCTAATATTTTAGCCATTCACAGGGCAGCGCTAACAGCTGACAAAGAAACAGCTGATTCTGTTTTGATATTTACACACATCAAACACCAGATTCAATAGTGATTCATCTTTTAAAAATCCCTGCCCTTTCGGCCATAAAAATTATAGAATTATAATGTTTAACAATATATTTGGTAAAAAACCTACCGTAAAGGAGCAACAACGTGAAAATGATCGCAGCCTGCGCAAAGCGACGCGCGATATAGAGCGTGAGCGCCGAAAACTGGAAGAGGAGGAAAAGAAGCTAGAAGCTGAGATCAAACGCAACGCAGCAGCTGGAAACAATGATGCATGCCGTATTCTGGCTAAGCAACTGATAGAAATTCGCAAACAAAAATCTCGTAGCTATGCCGCTGCCGGAAAAATCCAATCCATAGGCTACCAGAATAAAAACATGGGCGCAAACATAGCCTTGGGCGAGGCAATGGGAACCACAGCCAAAACTATGGCCACCATGAACAAGGTGATGCGCCCAGAGGCAATAGCAGGCACAGTGCGTGACTTCCAACAGGCGAATATGCGCATGGAGATGACAGACGAAATGATTAACGACACGTTGGACGACATGCTGAACGAGTCCGGTGATGAGGAGGAATCCAACGATGTGGTCAACAAGGTGCTCGACGAAATTGGCATCGAAATCTCTGGAAAGATGGCCAGCATACCAGCCGCAGGGTCTGGCGAGTTCGAGACTAGCGGCAAACGTACCGAAAAAGACATTGCAGATCAGTTAGCCAAGCTGAGGTCTTCCTAGATATTCCTAGCTATAAAATGTTAATTTTGCTGTGCTTAATCCCTCCCACAACTATATTGGAAGTTTTTTGTACACACATTTGTTATTCATAGGCCATAAGACATACAAATATAAGTATATATACATGCATCACACTAAAGTCGAGCACTCATACCTCCAGAGGCAACGACTGACTCGCCTGTTATATAGCCAGCATCCTCAGAGACGAGGAAAGAGACAACTCCAGCCATTTCCTCGCTGGTGCCTAAACGACCCATGGGAATTTTGCTAAGCGCAGCTTCATTGGCAGCTTCGTTCTCGTAGAGCGTTTTCGAGAACTTTGTGCGGATGATACCAGGTGCCAAGCAATTGACACGAATGCCCTCAGGTGCCAAATCCTTGGCCGCTGCCTTGGTCAAGCCAATCAACGCCGTCTTGCTCACAGAGTATGCGCCTAGCAGCTGTAGATAAGGCCGCAGATGAAGATAAGGCCTTGTTATATTGATAAAGCACTGACCTCAAATGCATCGTAGCCAGCTATAGATGAAACAAAGACGATGCTAGAGCCCTTTTCTTTCCGCAGATAAGGCAGTGCCTCTTTCGCCAACAGATAAGAGCTCTTCACATTCACATCAAAGATCTTGTCCCACACTTTCTCATCGCATTCCAGCACGCCGCCAACGGCAGGATTAGTAGCAGCATTACTAACCAAAATGTTTAGCTTGCCATATTTGCTGATGGTCTCCTCGAAGAGCTGCTTGCGATCTTGCGCTTCGCTCACGTGGCACTTGAGTCCATGCACATTAAGATTCAGTTTGCGCAGCTCGGCAAGGGCATTGTCCACATTCTTTTGCTTGCGGCTGCTGATGACCACCGCAGCGCCATCCTCAGCCAAGCGCTTGGCAATTGCAAAGCCGATGCTAGAAAATAATTTAATATATATATATATGTAAATATAATAGAGTAATACATTATTGGAGCTTACCCATCTGTGGAGGCGGTAACTACTGCAACTTTTCCTGCTAAACGCTTCATTCTGTTGACGTTTGTACTTTGACTGGCACTGCCACTGGATAACCGCTTGTGGCAAAGATTGTGGCTAACGAGTTTGTTACTATTGTTATTGTTGCTATTATGTTGATTAAGATTTCTAATCGATGTTGCGTTTTGCGAGCTATTTTGGACTTTGCCTCCAGACAAAACGGAGGCAGCGGTCAAATTGAGCTTTGGCGCCCTATTGGCCAGTTGCTTCCCAAGATGCAACATATTTTTAGAAAATTTCGTAATGTGATGTGAGTTGACACTGTGTGCGAAATTGATTTTCCGCAATTTACTTATTTTCAGCGATTCCTATACGATCAAGACAAGCAGTTCCAGTTGGAACTTGTTTTGTTTATTGCGGCTGTTGCCATTCACCACGAAATCGAAAGCTTTTTTGAGCGCGCTTTTTGAATTGCAGCTGTAATTGAATTGCGTATTTTCTTTTATCTGCAAAAATTATAAATTATACTTTTGTCCATTCGCAGAACCTGCATTTCTGATTTTGTATATATGAATACTTTAAAAAATATCGTAATATATACCAAAAAACATGCATGCCTCCTTTTGGTTCGTAGACCTCAATTTTTAGATAAGAAATGTTGAAATAAAAAACTTGACAACTTAAATAAACACTGTCCGCACGCATTATATATGATCTCGATTTCGTAACATGATAAATAAAGATAAATATGAAGAGGGGAAAAAGCAAGTACTTACCGTCACACTGAAAGTGAATAAGAATCGTTGACGAATAATCGCCACCACAACATCTCAAATCATATTCAGAAATAATCGCAACAACAAATGCAAATGTTTACTCTCAGCTGAAAGTGCAAATTAATAGGTGGACGGAGCGGCTTTAGTTGTTGTTTCATTACGCTACTCCATACCCAGCCCCAGTCGAAAATCGTACTTTCGGCAGTTTAGTCGCTCCGTGTTGTTCCTACTGTTCAAACTGCTTTTTACCAGAGCTCCGGAACTCAGTCAACGGCACGCGGCTAACGGTTTTCGTTTTCGCATAGCATGTGATATAACCAAATATTTCGAATTCACAATATTAGCAAAAGATGAATAACCAAGCAAATGAAATAGCACCTGCAGAGCCCGCACCACAGGACTTCAAAGCACCTGTCTTTAACGATGACAAACTCGTGCTCTACTTCCACCCGTACAACTTCTACTCGCAAAAAGTTAGTTGACAATTGAAGTCATGTGATTTTCAAGAGAAAGAAAAATTTATTTATTACGTTACAGAGCACGCAATTGGTGTGCTTCAAATTGTGAAGGCTGTCTATCAAATGGCGCGAAATTACAAAACTAATCGTAGTAATTGTCTTTATTATTCAATGCTATATGTGTGTATATGTAGCTGTGACTAGGCTGGAGTTCTCTATAAACTCTCCCACTCATCCCCCTGCTCTGTTAGCAGTGCAATCGTGCTTGACGGGGGCGTTTGAATAATATCTAATTTAAGATCGGCTTGACTCTCAGCACAAATAGCTTTTAATTGATTCGGCTTTTCATTCTTTTTCCCTTTTGACAGTATCAATAAATAATATTATTTAACTGTTTACCTTGATGCAGGTGCTAATGAGGCATATGAAATAACGCTGAGCGTTAAATAAACAAATATGATAGAAAAGCTCAAATAGTACAAGTAAATAATTAGAAAGCCTGTAGTTATTAATATAAAACATACATATATATATATGTGACATACATATACATTCGATATATTTTATTCATAGACTTGCGGTCAACCAAAATTAATTAAATATTTCTTGTTTTATTTATAGGTTTTGCTGGTGCTGTATGAGAAAAACATTGACTTCACACCCTACGTCGTCGACCTGTGCAATGGCGAACAGTATTCCAGTTGGTTCCTAAATCTGAATCCCAAAGGCGATGTGCCTGTGCTGCAGGATGGCGCGTTCATCATACCCAACTCGCCGCAGATTATCAACTATGTGGAGTCGAAGTTTAGAGGAGGTAACTGATTTACTACAGGGTATATTGGTATAGTTAATGTAAACAAAAAATACTATTTGCAGAGCGTCACCCCACCCTGAAACCATATAGACCAGATTCGCTGGAATATGATAAGATGAGCACATTTGAGCGCGCCTTTACACGCCTGCCGGTGGGCGCACTTAGTCTGGGCTCCTTTATCCACGACGATCTTAAGCTGTCGCCCAAGGCTCCCTTCATTGGACCCGTGCGGCAATCCTGCCTGAGTGAGCAGTATAAATGAGCAAAAGAGCTGTGTCTATTTAATAATCCCTTTGGTGTCTCACTATCTCGCAGAGAACAATGACAAGGTCATGGATATGCTGCGTCGATCCATGGATGAGACAGACTCGACCATCTGTTTAAGTGCACTGAAGCAGAAGCTAGATATTCAGGTGCGTCGCAGAAATCTTGTTGCCTCACGTTCAGACTTTCAGCGTGTGCTGGATGCCGTTCGCAACGTGTTGCTCTTCGTTGAGCAGGAGCTCTCAAAGCAAACGCCACGAAAGGAGTGGCTCACGGGCGACGAGCTCACGCAGGCTGACGTCAGCTTGGGTCTGCTGCTGCAGCGGCTCTATCAGCTGGGCTTCGAGAACTATTATTGGGGCTACGGCAAGTTGCCGCTGGTGGAGGGATTCTTTTTGCGGTTCAAGCAACGGCCCTCATACCACAAACTGATGCCCAGCAGCAATTTCGAGATACTGAAGGAGATGTGGAGCATGACGCCTGCCAATTACAAGCTGGGAGCCACCGCCGGTTTCTTGGGTATGGCCATGTTCGCAGCCTTTGCGCATAAGTAGGCGGCAAGATGTTTGTTAACAATCGTTTTATTGTTATTGTTAAAGTTGGGCACATATAAACACAAACAAAAGAACGCTTAAGTCTACGTGGTAACAATGCAAGCAAGATGCGGAAGGCAGAAACAGTGAATGAGAGATGAGTGAGAGAGCGGATCGTCGAGACCCCTATGAGCTATGAACAGCGCACCACGGTAATGTGCGAGCCTCAAAATTACTGATAACATTGTACATTCGTGTTTATAAATTTCATTTGGTATTAAGTTCTATTTGGTACAAAAGATTTCGCTAGCCACTACCGGTTAAAATGACTCCCTTATCCAATATAATTCAATTCCTGTTTTCTGTAGCTGGGTCACATTAAGCTTGGGTTTAGCTGTCCACGCCCGCCTGCTGTTGTTCCCGCTTGAGCTTTTCCGCTTGCAGCAAACTGGCAGCTGCAGTGGCTGCTTTCGCATTGGTAAACAATGGCATGCCCATGAATGTGGGTATCTGCTGCTGCTGCTGTTGCGTCGGCTGAGTGCTCAGTCTGTTGGCTGACCATTGACCACTGCCATTAGGGTTTGCTTTCTGTCCACTGGCAGACGACTGACTGCTGCCAGATGGCATGGAGGTGTGTAAATGCGTTGGCCGCCTGATGGGAAAGTTCTCGCGCTGATAGTAGAAAAGACCATTGCCTGGAGCCTCGGGCAGCAGCCCATTGGTGGGATACCAGAACCGATACGTGAAGTACCACGTCAGAATTGCAATAATGCCGCTGATGACTTTCTCGATCATGCGATGATAGTAAAGCATGGTGCCCACCAACATTATGTCCCACAGCAGCTGCAGACCCGCCATGCCAATGAACAAGGTGCGAATGATGGGCGTCAGTCGCGTATATAGAAACTGTAGACTACGTATTTGATCATCGTTCAGATTGCGCAAGGGATTGCTGCTTGATTTCTCGGAGACACTGCGATTGTGTAGCTCATTGCGCAGATGCTCCTTGATCGTCTCCCACTTGATGATGGGTCGCGCCTCCTCTATCAGCACCAGACTTGAGTGTATCAGAATAAACGCATGTCCAGAGATGTCAAATCCCTGCCATAAATGTCCGGCTTTCAGGCAGCTGGATTTGCTCTGGAAGCCTACAAGCAATAAGATCTGCGTTAATTTGTGTATTCTGTATTATTATAAAACCTACCTTTGGTAGTGCAGCGACCATACGAGGTTTCTACAATATTGAAGAGCTTTGTCCAGAAGAACCAGAAGAACGTAGCTATCACAATACGTGGAAAGTGATGCCTCAGCATGCGCTTCATGTCGCCGCAGG